AGAAATAAATAAAACATTAAAAAAAATTTAAAAAAAAAAAAAAAAAGAATTAGACATGAGAACTGGCATCACACACAGTGGAAGCTCAGTTATGCTTCCAAAAATGTGAAAAAAATATTTCCAGCCTAGAATTCCAGTCCTAACCAAATATCAAATGTGACGGTAGAAAAAGTCATGTTTAGACAAGAAATGTCTTAAAATTTTACCTCTTACGCACTTCTTTTCAGGAAGTGATTGAAGGAAGAACCCCAGCAAGATGGAGGAGCACTTAAGAAAGGAGTATAGCATGTAGAAAATGGGCCCTACCACAAAAGATGGGCACAGGAGGCCCTAGGAAGAAGCTGTGTAGCAGTCCAGAGAGCAATGGGTTCATCTTAGATCAGGCGCCGCACAGGCTCTCCAAGAAAAACCTGGAACAATCAATTACCTGGATGCGTTTCACTGTTCTGAGAGGATACCAAGATTCTATCAAGAATAAAGAGTCAAGGGGCAATTGGGTGGCTCAGCTGGTTAAGCATTTGACTCTGGATTTTGGCTCAGGTCATGATCTCATGGTTTGTAAGCTCGAGCCTGCCTCAGGCTCCATACTGACAGCTCGAATACTGCTGAGGAGTCTCTCTCCTCTCTCTGCCCCTCCCCTGCACACATGTGCACACCCTCTCTCTCACTCTCAAAATAAGCAAATAAACTTAAAAAAATAAAAAGAATAAAGAGTCAGTGGGGTACCTGGGTGGCTCAGTCACTTAAGCATCTGACTTGATTTTGGCTCAGGTCATGATCTCAGGAACCATTCATGAGTTCGAGCCCCACCTTGGGCTACACATTGATAGTGTGGAGCCTACTTGAGAGTCTCTCTCTCCTTCTCTCACTGCCTTTCCCTCCCTCTCTCTTTCTCAAAATAAATAAATAAACATTTTTTAAAAAGAATAAAGAGTTATGGAAAGGAAAAATGATCACTAAACACTATGTAACTCAAATGTGAGAATATTTATATAGTCATAATAAATAAAAATGAATATTAATTTAACCAAAAACTATGATATAAGCAGGGTAGGTATTCCACCAATGTGCAGTATCACACTGCTTGCTGTTTATGGCTGGTGTTCATTCTTAGGAGTCACATATCCATTCTGACTGGTCAGTGTCAATACCCTATGAGTTGTTAAACATTTTGAATGTCTACATTGGAAGTAACTATTTGAAGAGATGAGGAGATTTCAGGGGGAAGAGAGGTTGTAAGACACTTACAGA